CCCTTGGTGGTCTTAAAATCGATAAGAGTAGGCTTCGGCCGCCACCCGGGCAAAATTCAAAATTTCCTACCAACGAAAAAGTATTAGGTGTGTCCCGCGCGCTCATATGACCTTATGCAGTTGCGAGCGCCGTAAAACCCTATACTAAACAAACAAAAAAACAAATCGATCAGATGTGCTGTTACTGAAATTAAAATAAAAGCAAGAATAGCAGCGACAACAACGACTACAACAGACCAAAGAAAACAACAACAACAACAACAACAACATACTTAACAACAAGAACACAAACAAACACCAGCAAGAACAACGCAAATAAGTTGAACTTTTTTTTCCCGTGTTTAAAGCCACCAACAAAATTATATTACAGAATGACACATGAAGACAACGGTGTTCACTGTTTCATGTTATTTATTTATTTTTTTCAAATTCAGGTTTGAGTAGTTAGTAGATAGATTCGATGAGAACGAAGACTTAGTTAATCATGAATATAACACTTACAGTCATGCATTCACACCAAGTCCCTATAACCTGCGCCTGATCTGGATGTGTTTTCGCAATTTCATATGTGTGAGTGTCTTTGTTTTTGTGGGGACTCAGGGTCCCACAGGCAACTAGTTACGTTTTGATATACGTCGCCACTCTATGAGTTGGTCTTCAGTGCATACCACAACGTCAACCTCAACCAAAACTTGACGTGAGCTGTGAGTTATGAGTAAGACGTCCTCCTCACACAGGAAAAAGGTTTCCAAGAGGACATGGTTACCAAAAATGGCTTCTTCGACTTCGAAAAGCTGGAATATAAGTTGATGCGTGCGTGTGTGCGTGCGCGCGTGTGTGCATGTGTGAGTGTGTAGGTGTCAGTGTGAATGTGTGTGTGTGTGTGTGTGTGTGTGTGTGTGTGTGTGTGTGTATGTGTGTGTGTGTTTGTGTATGTGAACATGTATGCCGCTTAATTATGTGTAAGCATGTGTTGGTGTTTCGGTAAATTTCAATTTAAAGATTTAGACTTCAGAGAAAAGAGGACAACAACAACAACCACAAACCTTGGAGTCTGTACAAGTCCCACAGTGTGTTGGCACCAAAGCAAAAACAGAAAAAATGTTTTAAGATCATTGTAAAAAGTCAACACAAAAAGAAGAAAAGCATCTGAAAAACAACAAAATAAAACAACAACAAAAAACAAACAAAAAACCAGGCCCCACTCGTTATACTCAATACGAATTGTGAAATATTGAGTGAGTATACATAAGCAATAAAGAGAAATTATTATGGAAATCTCCACATCAACCTGCTGAGCTGCAGAAGTCAAGCTTTATAAATTGTCCATCAAAGATTGGTTAATGAATTGTCTGCGTATCACAGTTACCCATCTACAACGCAAATGAGATGGGCGCAAGGAAATCATTATTACTGCCTGACCCAAATTTGGGACTTGGAGGAGGTGGAAAAGTAAGAACGGTCATGGTTAATGATTACCCTTGACCAATTATTTTTATTCTACATTTCCCGAGAAAAGAATAAAATAATTCTTTTCGATTATTGTATAAATTTAACACCCTTTGCAACACTGAAACACACATCTCAAAATAGGTTACCGGTACTCAGTTACACGTCAAGCAAATATCAACCTTCAGGAAAAGAACTGTCTGCATGCTAGTTCGTATTCTGATTTTTTTAAAACAAACTTTAGCAGTGAATTTAGCGTGGGACTCAGCTTTCCGCCCCTGAAGTGTTGATTGAGATGATGTGCGATGTAACCCTCCCATTCGAAATGAGTCTGTGCTGTCCGAGTTCGTCATTTCGCTTACCCTGGAATTATGAAGTTCTATCTGACATTTTTAGCCGTTTTGAGTTACTAAGACTAAGACCAAGAGGTCAGAAGCCAAATCTTCTATATTATGCTCTATCAAAATCTTAAGATCGTTTGGGGTCGTTATCAAGATATTGAAAGAATTGCAATAGAAAAAGCTTGACATCTTGTGAAACTATTTTTTTACGTCATATGTATCAACACTGGGCACTGAGGAGATAAAACTTTATATTTCTAGGATAGCGATTATTACAAAGGACGTTCATTTTTTCGAGTATCTTTGTCTTTCAGCGGGGATACTGCGTCCAAGTCAGCCCCAGCTGGACAGACAGGCAGGAGCACAGCAGCCCGACTCCTAAATGGTAGATCTACTTCTAAACTGTGTGTCACGGGGTAAAAATATTTAATTTCTCTCTCCCATTTCTTTCTCTGTCTCTCTTTGTCTCTCACTGGCTGTATCCGTTTCTCCCCCCCCCTCTCTCTCTCTCTCAATCGCTTTCTCTCTCTCCCTTTCTCTCTCTCTCTCTGTGAGTCTCTCTGTGTGTCTCTCTCTGTCTCTCTGTCCCTCTGTCTCTCTCTGGCTATTCAGCCCCCACCCCACCCCAATGCTCCTCATGAACACACAAGCATCAGCCTTCTTTCTTTCTTCCTTTCTTCCTTTCTTTCTTTTTCTTTTTTCTTTTTTTTTCTTTCTTTCTTTCTTTCTTTCTTTCTTTCTTTCTTTCTTTCTTTCTTTCTTTCTTTCTTTCTTTCTTATCTTCTCTCATCGAATGTTGAGAAATAAATGTACATTATTATTAAGATAAGAAAGCTTCCACTCAGCTTTCATTAGTTGACGTGTAGTCCAACGATAATATGTGCTCTGTAACTAATTTACTAGGAACCTTTATTTCATTAGATGCTGAGCCATATTTCTTTTGCTTTTCCGTAACACTTTGAGTTTGAGTAGCTGTTTCAGTTTCAGTATTCCATAACGCTTTTATTAATGCAATGCAAAAAAGGTTCCAAATTAATTAGTGGAATAAGCAACAATCTTATGCGCAAATATTGTTTGACTGTGGCTCACGCAGGGCATACGTGTAATAGGGAGTGCCTACATACGCGATCGGGTCGGGTCGGGTAGTCAGGGCTAGCCAAATTGAGGGCGCAAAGCGGCCATCGTGGCACAAACCGACCGACAGTGCAATCGGGTCGTTTGTAGCCAATCACAACAAGGCTGAGTCACGTGTCCCTTTTGACACATGAATACATAAAGTCGGTACTCTGGGAATTCCCGGTTTCGGTCTCACGCCCTTGACCATCTTCTCACTTCGCACAGCGGGTTTGGAGCGCTCATAGGCCTAGAGGAAGAAGGAGACGAATAAGAAGAAGGAGGAGGAGCACTACAGAAGGAGGGTGGCGAGAGTGACAGAGAGGGAGAGAGATAAGTTGAGATATATATGCAGAGACCTAGATCTAGAAATGTTTACATTTCTAGATCTAGATCTGGGTGTCTGATATGGGAAGTGAAAAATAGACAAGAAAGGAGAGAGACACTAAAGCAAGTTAGCAAGCAAGAAAGGAAGCACTCACACACACACACACACACACACACACACACACACACACACACAGACTCACACACGCGCGTGCACGCACGCACGCACACGCGCACGCACACACACGCACACACACATACACATACACACACACACACACACACACACACACACAGAAGGATTGCGGGAAGTCCAAGAGTACGGTAGGCATATTTTATGTATTCATGGGTCAAAGGTCCAGCTAATCGTAGCCCGGTTTACGCCCTCTGTGTAGTCGAATGTAGGTTAAAGGTTTCTCTACTTTAACTTTAACTTCCAGATCGTCGGGTACAATCGGGGCGGGGCTGAAGTGTGCACTGAAACCCCGACCCGGTCAGCCCATCCAGACCCGACCCGACCCGATTGCGTATGTGGGCACCCCCTAATACGGGGTGCCCACTACAGCTGGATCAGGCCGATCGCCCGACTCGATCGCCTGAAACAGAAAAGAAACACGTTTTGTTTTTGAGGCGACCGAGTCGGGCGATCGGCCCAATCGGCCGATCCCATCCGTGGTGGGCACCCCCGTATAAAAGACACATGTAAAATAATTTCTATCATGAACTGCTACTATACGACGCTTGCTGAATTTCTATAAGATGGAAAACAAAGAGAAAGCAGGGCTTTTTGTTTGACTGTTGATCTATTCCAAGCTCATTACAAATCTAATCAGTTGTTCAGAACCATAATTTTCACGAATTTGTTTAGTTTGTTTCACTCATTTGTTAATTTTTGCGGCAATATCTCAATTAAGGCTTTGTATATTTTAATCATGAATATCACCCAGGAAACTCATGCCAACGTTTCAAAGGAAATCAAGAATACTATTGTGTCACATTAGGGGGGGGGGGGGGGGACAAAGTAACACATAACGATTTTAGTGTGCAAAAAAACGTTTATTAGAGGGGGCTTATTTTCATAGACCCTATATTTTCCCTTCTTGGTTAACTACGTTCGTTTGTATTTTATATTTTCAAGGCTGAGTGACCCGCCACATTTTGCTGCCGGGTCACAGTGGACTTTATAGAGTTTCCAATGCTGTAAGAATGATAATTACTATGGATACCTATGGAATATGTGGGTGTATGTACAGCTGGGAAAATTATTGACAATGAAATCTTTGCACATAATTTGAGTTAAAGATTTGGGCTCGCCCCAAGCTAATGGGAAACATAATATAGCTGTTTGTTTCAAAATTTTAGAACAAAACATTAGAAAAAGGACCTTGAAATCTTTTTAAAAAATGGCATGCCGTATATATCTTTTTCAGAACACCAATGCACTCTAAACACGCTGGTCAAGCCTTCTAGCAGCAGTTTTTAAATCTATGAAACCTTAATTAGCATTGACGTCATTACCTTCTTAAATAGCTATCGTCAAGTTCTAAAAATATAAAGAACAAAATCACCAGAATTCAATGAAACAATGAAAACGATGAGATCCTTTCTCATTCCTAGAGAAAAGATGAATCGCTGTACATGTTAATGAGAGTTCATGGGTTGTGGCCATTTTGTCATTTCGGACAACTGTTCCGGTAAGAAGTCCGTCTTTGTAGCTTTTTGCTACGCTTCCGTGGTGCCCAAAGGTACTGAGTCCATAGCAATCTCCAC